AAATCACACACCTCCCCCCCCCCCCCCCCCCTCGTCTCTATCCTTGACAAATACAGTCGTCAAAGCCATCGCTTTCATCAGCCCGTCAACGCCGAGATGCGCACGGCGTACATCTTTCTCCATGGCCTTTGGTTACCCGGCGAAGAATAACAGTGGGGGGGCGTGCTGCATTGCCATCGTCACAGGGAAGAAAATACTGCAAATGGAGCGGTATCGGCTCACCGGGCTTGTTCATCGCATGCAAAAGGGAAGCTGTCACGTTAGCACGGGCCGGTAAGGGCGGCAAAGCACGCTCGACATTTTGTGAGATGCTTTTGCCACCCAAGCACCTTCAGCGCAAAACGTCGCCGCAGGATGCTCGGTTCAGCGCAGTTTGGGAATAACAACGGGAGCGCGCTGCTTTTCCAAGCAATTACGACGACTTATTGTGTCACGCTTCCGCCAAATTCAAAAGGGCGATGTGATTTTAATCCAGGCCTGTTGAACTTTGTATGTTGTCTCTCGTTTGTTGACTTTCTCATCCTGTTTTTTTTTATTTTAATGCACAGACGTAACATGAAAAGTGGAGGAGGAAGACTTTGTGGACAACGCGGGACTAACAGACGACCCTGGAAGCTAGCAAAGGTACCACGCGGAATTGTGTCGCGCAGATTTCCTCTAATTCAAATAAGCGGACTCAAAACGTAGCACGCCGGCAACGCACAGGCTCACTTCAAAATAAAAGGCGATCGAGCGATACGTTTGCCGCCAATTGCAACGTTAGCAACTAGCGAGCCGCTAACTGCTAGCAGGGTTCGGTGGGGGCGACTATTGCTTTGCTTTTTTGTTTGTTTTTCTTCTTTTTCAATGATGCGGACATAGACTATTTTTTGTCTCCATATTTAAAGGAGGGGAGGGTGTGCCGTAAATTGTGCTTTGATTGTCTTTTTATTAAGTAGTCCATTTATCAAGTCGTAACGTGTTCGGCCTTACTTAGCACTTAAATTTATGTGTCATTTAAATTTAAACGGCCATATTTGACATTTGGAGTTGAATCTTTTGATTTATTTCTTACTAAATATATATATATATATATATAATGTGTTAATCTGCTGTTACCCACTGCCTAATTCACCTGGCAACAGTCGAGTAAGCAGGGTCCTTTATTTATTCCCCCACACCCCCCACCCACACCGTGTAACATCCTTATCAGGTATCTACACTCTTTCACCGCACCGAAGTGTGTATTCTGTCGTAACTCGCGGGGTGGTCATTGTCTCCCTGCCGTGTCGCTCTTTTTAAGTAATCTGCGTATCAATTATTATCTCGCAATCCCCATGCAGCAGTGGTGTAAAATTTCTGTAACCAAGGCCAATAATGAGTCATCATGTGGATATTTACCTCACATTTTATGCCAGGATAAGCTTTCAAGCCTCATAAATTATTCCCGCGCAATACGCAGCCTTGTATATTCTAATGGGCTGCCATATTGGATTTTATTGCAAATGGAGGGCTTATGACTCTCCAAGAGGGAAAAGTGCATTGTGACAATGCGTCTTGTGGCATCTCTTCTATTTTGTATTCTTATTTTTATCAGCCTGCCTCCGCCAAACTGATTCTATCTTTCATTCCTTCCGACACGCCACATATTGAGGTCCGTAGCTCGCCGCTGACGACCGCATAGACTAGAGGGGGAGAAAAAAAATGTGTAGAAAACATTCACTGCAGTCCTCCCGTGAGACGGAATTTGAGAACTTTGCGCGGTATCTCGGCTGAGACGGAGGGATGACGGGGACAGCTTGATTATCGGCTCAGCTGAGAGGAATCGGGTCGGAGGAAGGTGGCCGGCGTATTTTTGATTTTGGCGACACCGACGGCGGCTCGCTGGCTGGTCCGTGACATGATGACAAACGCACCGCTGCCTGCCTACCTGCTTACTGAGACCACACGCACTGTCATTGATATAAAGCACGCAGCTCGTCAAATCATCTTTCCCCATTGAACTGAATGCAAAAGCCATTAATCCACTCCTGGTGCGTGTGTCTTGGCCGCCATGGGGATAGTCTAATTTCCAAACAGGGACATACACAAAGAGCGTTAAACAATTGACGCACAATGCTGTTGTAATATTGCTCATTTTTCACAGAAGATAAAGAATATATGCCTGTGAGTATCGTGATCTTAGTCTCGCCTCATACACTGCATTATTTGTTTTCAAATATCCATTTTGCATTGTGAGCTGGAGCTTTGTATTTATTCGACGAACGAAGCGAGAAGAACAAAGTTGCCATTGAGCTCGATTAATTTGCAACTCATTTTTTGCAAGTTCGGAAGAATCTATGCCTTTGAGTATCGCTGTGTTACCTTTCTCTGTGTTCGTACAGCGTTTGTGTGAGTTATTTGAAGGACTATCACTCCTGGAACTTGATGCTAATACTCTGTTAGCCCGTCAATGGGATTTTACATTGACTGCTAGCATGAGCATTGATGATGTTTGTAAAACACAATTCACCACGCTAACTCCTCCCCCTCCCCAACACCCTCCCCCGATTGTATTTTTATAACCCAGAGAAGCCAAAATTGAAATTGATGCAATTAATTGCACAGCCTTCGTGTTAGCATTAAGCTAGCAGACAATCGCATACGGCAAAGCTATGCGGTTGTTTTAAATACGCGACTGTATTTGCTAAAACAGAATTTGGGACGCATCATTAGGTTGTTCGAGGTTACCTAACGTTGCGGCGTGGCCAACTTGACGTATGTCAACAAAATTACATACCAGGTTTGTCTTTGATATGATTTTGTCACATCAAAACCTGCTTTGACGCCATCCTTTGAGCCTGTTAATGAGCACTGGGAGTGTGTCACGTCGTTATCCATGTTTGTGTTCTGTCAGTATGTTGATGACGCCTTTTTATGCCTCTTTGGGCCACGTTCGCCCCCACAAAACATGCCACATTGCATCGTGAACAATCGGCGGATTACGCTGATTGACTGCGACTGGCAAGGATGAATCGGACAAGTGTCAGGCGGCAAGCCAGTGACGGACCCGCCGTCGAATGGTTTGGACTCGCAGACTTTTGTGTGTTTGTGTGTGAGGGGAACAGATGCTGAATGACGACAAACTAGCTGATGGGATAATGAGATAACGAGCAGACGAACAGGATGACGAATCCTGCGTGTGTGTGTGTGTGTGCGCCATATATGCAAAGCGGTCATTAATGTGAGCTGACGTGATCAGATGCGTAACGACGCAGGCGATTTCTCTCGTTACACAACTCCAGCAAAAAGGGCTCCGTGTGTTACGACAAAAGTCTCGCACCAGAAGCGATCCGACGAATTCGCCGGGCGCGCCGTGATTGATGAACTGAAACGATGTGGTTGCGCAAGTGTGCACACCCTCATCACTGGGATGGAGCTGCATTCGGAATTCAACAAATCACATTCACGTTAGGTGAAACTGAGTGGATGTTTAAAGATTTTTTTTTTTAGTAGGCTTCTCCTGACATGCTTTTGGGCTGCCTTCAGAAATCTGCTGGACAGCAAAACAAAGACAATGTCAGGAAAAGCCGAATAGACCAGCTGATCATGATTTCTGGGTTAAAACTGGTGTGCCGATTCAAAATAATTGACAAAAAAAAATTGTGTCAATTAAGTTGCACAGGTTACCAAAATAATGTCGGGAAACATGCACAATATATATGACAAAAAAAAGGCATTCGAAAGGGTGTGTAGACTTTTTATATCCACTGTAAGTTTCTCAAAATAATTGACAAAAAAATTTGTGTCAATTAAGTTGCACAGGTTACCAAAATAGTGTCGGGAAACATGCACAATATATATGACCCCCCCCCCCCAAAAAAAAGGCATTCGAAGGGGTGTGTAGACTTTTTATATCCACTGTAAGTTTGTTTCAGTTGGAAAGTTTGCATTTGATGTTTACGTACTCGGGGCTGTATTCTAAACATTATCGTGGACAGTCTGCGTTCTTGAGCGTGAAGTCGAATTTGTACTTCAGAAAATGTGTCGGAAATTGAAAAGTTACGGAAAAAAAGTACACTGGGAATTGAAAGTTAAGAAAAAAAATACACGGGGAATCAAGTGTTTCAAAAATCCAAATCAAAAGCTGTTTCAAAAAAATATAATTCAAATCACGATGACAAATAAATCGCCGTTCAATCCCCTCCCATCCTGTAGGCGGCAGTAACGCGCTTTGCAAAACTACCGCCCCAAAAATGTTTTTGCCCTGCCTCAAAGTTTGACGCGGGTCATTTTTACATGCCTTCGACTGGGATAATGGGAAGAAAATGAGCGCGTTATTGAGCGAATGCGTAAAACCGATGCGCTTTCATCGCTCCGCTCCATCAGTGTCTTTCTGTAATGTTAGCGCCGTCGTATTTTTCATTACTCGTCCACATAGGAAATATTGGATCGATCGGATGCCTCTAATGACTAACTTCTGTATACGCGACATCTCATTTTATGTCTCCGTGATTTGTTTGGTTTCAAGGTCTACATAGGCACTTAAATAACCACGTTGCTCCGTCAACGCAGACATAAATCATTTCAAGTGCTTTGTCGTCCAAGTCCATTTGCTTGACGAATGATTTCGCCCGGACGTCTTTTATGGTTGCTAAGCAGCCAACAGAGACGATCCTTTATTTTCATCATCATATTTACTGTCACTGCCGTCCAAAGTAGGAAATTTGACGGCTTGAGTGACAGCACAAAGCCAAATAATTGTGAATTCGTCAAATTCCTCCACGTCCGCATCGTCTTCACACAGCTCGGTCGGCGAGCCGCAAAAGCGACTTTAACCCGATTAGATCAAACTACTTCAAAAAAAAAAAAAAGGACAAGTGACAAAGATGAGGGACTCGCTGTCACAGCTGCATCATCTCATGCTTCATGCGACGAGGCAGAGCCGTTTGTAAAACACGGACGTGACAACAATGGCTGGAGCATAATCTGTCCAATCCCATTACCGACTGCGGGCACGCTCGCAGAAAGACACAAGCGCACGCACGCGATACGCGGAAATCTGCCACGGCGTATGACACAGAACTGACGGAGGGCATATGCATCTCCGACGGCTTCTGCCGCATGACAACATAAACATAACAAGCGAGCGCATGCCAGGCCAATGCGCCCCGATGCTTTTT